CCTTCTGCAAAAAACATACCATTGAGCCCAGGGCCCCTGAGTTCTATTTCTCTCAGAAGATCGATTACTTGAAGGACAAGGTACATCCGAACTTTGTAAAAGAGCGCAGAGCCATGAAGGTACGTGAAAACAAAAGAAATTAGTTTAAGGTACAGACACTTTGACAACAACCAAATTATGATTAAAAGCGTTTTTTTGTATGGCACTGCAGAGAGAGTATGAAGAATTTAAAGTGAGGATTAACGCATTGGTGTCGAAGGCTCAGAAAAAACCAGAAGAAGGTTGGGTGATGCAGGACGGCACTCCATGGCCTGGGAACAACACTCGTGATCACCCAGGAATGATCCAGGTTTAGCATTAATGCTATCCCTACTGAAGTTTTAATTGAGTTTTAGGCTTCATTAGTTTCTCAGAGATAAAGAGGTTAAAAGGTAAGCTGTTCGGTTGAGTAACTGTTTACATGGTCCGTTGGAATTTTACTTGATTTGCAGGTTTATTTGGGAAGTGAAGGAGCACTAGATGTGGATGGTAAGGAACTACCGCGTCTTGTATATGTTTCGCGTGAGAAACGTCCTGGCTATCAACATCACAAGAAAGCTGGTGCCATGAATGCTTTGGTGAGCTAATGTTGATTTAAAATTTATGTTCTTAAACTGGAAGATAGATTCGTACATTCAGCAAGGTTTATAACTTGGAAATGTTGTATGTGTCAACAGGTTCGAGTTTCTGCAGTGCTTACTAATGCACCCTTCATGTTGAATCTGGATTGTGACCACTACATCAACAATAGTAAGGCTGTAAGAGAAGCTATGTGCTTCCTAATGGATCCACAGCTCGGAAAAAAGCTCTGCTATGTCCAATTCCCTCAAAGGTTCGATGGAATTGATCGTCACGATAGATATGCTAATCGAAATGTTGTGTTCTTTGATGTAAGTGGCACATGATCTTTAAACTAACTCGATCTCTTGCAGTACAAAATTCTTGCCTCTAAAATTACGCTCAATGTCTTGCACTATTTTTCATTATAGATCAACATGAGAGGCCTAGATGGGATCCAAGGACCAGTATATGTTGGGACTGGATGTGTCTTCAACAGGCAAGCACTGTATGGTTATGATCCGCCAGTTTCTGAAAAGCGACCTAAAATGACATGTGACTGCTGGCCTTCATGGTGCTTCTGTGGTTGTTGTCGCGGTAAGAAGAAATCTAAGTCTAAGAAGCATGGGGTGAAAAGTCTTCTTGGGGGAATTTACTCCAAGAAGAAGAAAATGATGGGGAAGAACTACATGAGAAGGGGGAGTGGAACGATGTCTGATCTTGAAGAGATTGAAGAAGGGTTTGAAGGCTATGATGAGTTGGAGAAATCTTCACTCATGTCACAGAAAAATTTCGAGAAACGATTTGGACAATCTCCGGTTTTCATTGCTTCCACTCTCATGGAAAATGGTGGCCTTCCTGAAGGGACGAATAGTCAAACACTCGTTAAGGAGGCCATTCATGTGATAAGCATTGGCTATGAAGAAAAAACTGAATGGGGAAAAGAGGTGAGTAGCATTATGATGAACTTCTTCTATATACGAATATTTAAGATTCTTACAATCGGTTTAACTATTTGATCACTAGGAAATATGCACTAACATAACTGGTTACAAACTTAAGAAAAAAAGAAGGAACAGATGGACACTAGTTGCTAAACACGATGCATATTTGTAATTCGCTGTACATAAACCACGATGCAGCTCTATTTGTACATATTTGCCTGATGTTTTTGAATATATTGGGCTTTGATTTGAACACGATAAAACCAAAATGATGAATTGATTGGTTTGTTTTGCAGATTGGGTGGATTTATGGTTCTGTTACAGAAGATATTTTGACCGGCTTCAAAATGCATTGCAGAGGATGGAAGTCAGTGTATTGTATGCCAAAGAGGCCAGCTTTCAAGGGATCTGCTCCAATAAATTTGTCCGATCGGTTGCACCAAGTTCTGAGGTGGGCTCTTGGCTCTGTCGAGATCTTCCTCAGTCGTCATTGCCCTTTGTGGTACGCCTATGGAGGAAAACTAAAATGGCTGGAGAGGCTTGCTTATATCAACACCATTGTCTATCCTTTCACTTCCATTCCCTTACTTGCTTACTGCACTGTTCCAGCCATCTGTCTTTTGACCGGAAAATTCATCATCCCCACTGTAAGTACTTATCGTTTTGGAAGATAAGAACCGATTACAAACTTTTAAAAAGAAAATAGAACTGGTGGGACAATGATCCGTGTTTTATACTTTATATACGGTCAATTCTACGTTTCATGTCCTCTCAATTCTATTTTCAATCGTAGGATTTGCCGAAGATTTTCATTTTCAATTCAATGCCAATTCATATTATCTAAAAATAATATCAAATTTTGTGCAGCTGAATAACTTTGCTAGCATATGGTTCATGGCACTTTTCCTCTCCATCATTGCAACCGGCATCTTAGAGCTCCGGTGGAGCAATGTGAGCATTGAGGACTGGTGGCGTAACGAGCAATTTTGGGTGATTGGTGGAGTCTCTGCACATCTTTTTGCCGTCTTTCAAGGCTTCCTCAAAGTCTTGTTCGGAGTTGACACTAACTTCACGGTTACATCAAAAGCGGCAGATGATGCTGAGTTTGGTGAACTCTACCTGTTCAAATGGACTACTCTTCTCATACCACCAACCACACTCATTATCTTAAACATGGTGGGAGTTGTAGCTGGAATTTCTGATGCCATTAACAATGGCTACGGCTCATGGGGTCCGTTGTTTGGCAAGCTATTTTTCTCCTTTTGGGTCATTGTTCATCTCTACCCTTTCCTCAAAGGTTTGATGGGAAGGCAAAACAGGACTCCTACCATTGTGGTTCTTTGGTCAGTTCTTCTTGCATCCATCTTCTCGTTGATTTGGGTGCGAATCGATCCCTTCTTGCCCAAGCAAACTGGACCAATCCTTAAACAATGTGGTGTGGAATGCTAGACCTGTTTCTAAAGAAAAAACTCGGGTTTAATTGGAGATTCACATTATGTGAGAGATACAAAATAGGGGATAAATACGTCGGTTATACGCTAGAATCCCCCATGCTTCTGGGATCTTTTGCCTTTTCCCCTTCATTGATTGTGTTTGTAGTTATGCAACTTTTGCTTGTTTCTCTTCAAATGTCTTCAAGTTTGCAAAGGGGGCGGTTTGTGTACACACACTATACATATATTCATTAACAGAGATTTTGACAGTAAGGTCCCCAACGCACTATCGTTTTTCACTTTCTCCTTAAATTCGTTTGTTAAGATATGATTTTCGCATCTCCTTTTGTTAGAATCATTCGCTTGGGCATAAATATTTATTTCTTCTGAACCGGCCCATTAGTCTTTTATTCGTAAGCCCAAGTAGGTAGGGTTTCCTATTTTTTGCCTGGTATAAAGTTACCTCTTTTGTTTCGAACTCTCTTATGACTATTTCTTTTCAATTTCGGCACTATGTTCTGTTTAATTTACAAATCTCAATCTACCTAAGCCAATTGGACGGACCACCTCTTTCTTCTTTGTAAATCTCTCGTTTTTCTAACATTTAGATAAGGATAATCACGAGGCAGAAACAAAGGGGATGAGTGCAAAAAGAAAACGAGTTCATGCAAATCAATACTTTTTTTTTCTAATTGAGACACGACTACAGAAAAATGGACAAATTATTTTATGGACTGATGTTTAAAATATTAATAACTATAAATACAATGAATTTGTAGCTCAAGTATTTAAAAACGTTTAATATGCTTGAATTGTATTGAAAAATTAGCTATAAAGTAAACCAGAAAAATAAACAGAACCATTTTTACTTGAATATCAGAGTGCGCATACCACAATGAACGAACAAACGGATTACAAAACTAGAAATATTATTGATATCAAACACTACAAAATCGCCGAGACGGCTACATAAACTCCAAGAGGCTACATTGTGAATGACTTGTTCTAAAACTAAATTACAAACTCTATTTATAGAGCAATAAACCTAAGAAACCCTAATGCGTAAATGCCAAAAATACCCTACGACAAAATCAAATCAAATCTCTAATTAATTTCCTAAATAAACCTAATAAATTCCAACAATTTGTTCCAAAATAAAAAGAATCTTGGACTATCTGGGAATTTGGAAGTGTTTAATACTCAAAAGGACACTGAATGCAAGCTGTTTGAAGGCTAAGTGTGACCTCCAACCAAAAAGTACAAAAACTTAAGGGTCTGTTTGGTATCCTACTTAAATTTTTTTATCATTTCTCAAAACATTTCTTAAGAACATTTCTTGAAAACAATTTTTTTAAGACTAAAAAGGATGATTGGTAAGGATGATTGGTTTGCGATTTAAAAATTTTAAATCTTACGACTTAAACTAGACAAAGAGATCTAAAAAATGGGGTCACAAGAGAGGGAGAAAGAGTAGAGAGGAAAAAAGAAAGTAAGAGATAATTGAAAGAAAGAGAAAGAAGGGATAGGATCAGACGAGATATAGAAAAAGAGGAGTGAGAGAAAGAACCGAGAGAATGAAGATAGCGAATTGGAGGAGAGACGAAAAATGTAAAAAAAAAAAAAAAAAAAAGAGGAAAGAGAAAGAAGAAAAGAGAGAGAGATAGATTTGAAGTGGGAGGGGAGGAGGGAGAGAAAAGACACGAGTGAGTTTAAGTTTAAAAACTCACGTTTTATGTTTTAATACTATATTTTATAGTTAGTCTTGAGTTCAGTTTTTGAAAATAGTCATACCAAACAAGTTTTTAAGGCCTAAAACTTGAAAATTGTTTTTGAGTTTAAAAAGTTGGATTCAAGTAGAGTATCAAACAGGCCCTAAAACTCTTATCCAGTTGGAAAAAACGCGGTTTTGTAGAGAATGTTGAACTTAAGTCTATATTATATAGTACAAGGCTTGTGTGTTCAATATTTGCCCGTACAAGTCTCCAACCCTTTCCGTTAAGAGAAAAACTCCGGTATATATCCCGGTTATATGTAAGAATTTCCCAGCACCTAGAAGCAACAGTCTTGTAGACCATAGACACAGTGCATTTACATACAAAATACAAACAACCTGAGAGATGCCTAGTTTCAATCCCTTCTATTTTTTATGCCCTGTTAGTTTGTTGATGGTTAATGCACTAAATGGTTCGGAGAGGTAATGCAGTGTCCGAGCTGATAGCTCTTGTGCTACGTGACGCATTGTGGGTCGCAACTCCGGATGTGCACGAGCGCAGGCCAATGCTAAGGTGACCACAAACGCCACTGCCTCCGCCAATTCAGAAGTTGGAGGCTCTAGCCTCTGGTCTAACACATCTTTTAAAAGCAACTCTGCATCTCCCTTCAATGTTTTTGATGATTCTGATAAGGACTCGAGCATTTCCCCCGGGTGCCTTCCCATCACAATTTCTAGTGCCACCACTCCAAAGCTATACACATCGCTCTTATCCGTGACACGCATAGTAAATGCAAGCTCTGCACATCGAGAAAAAGAAAAATTAACCACCTTAAACATACCTTAGTCACTAAAAAAAAGAGCCAAAAATGAACACATTATAATTTACGTTACCAGGTGCCATGTAGCCATAAGAACCAGCAACGTTGGTCCAATTGGTTGATCCGAGCTCAAGAGTTTTGCTAATTCAAGTAATTTGAATAATCCAGTTTCACATTAATAGTGTTAACTCAGTATCTCAGATCATCTCAGCCTTACATTCTTATACTTCTAACAAATAGAAGTAGATATAGTAGACATGAGAGCAACAATTGGTGATTGCAAAATATGTAATTGTGTAGCAGTTAACATTTTCGCAGATTTGTAGTAAGATAAGAACCAAGTCTTGAGAGATGCATAGAAGAAATCTAAGCACAAACACATTGCGAGCAAGAATCACAAAGAAGAAGAAGTCAAAAAACTGGATCAATCTTCAAGTTCATAGCAAAAACCCTAGAATTCACAAAGAATATGACTTTGTCCAAGCTTTGCCTGAATCGAAGATAGAAACCCTAAATTCATATTAGAAGGATGCAGAAGCAGAAGGAAGTTTGAAGATGAATGCGTTAGCAACAATGACGAGTGATACCATGTCAAGCTATGCACATATTGTATCAATGGTGATGAAGAATCAAGCACTAGAGAGAGAAAGTAGAGAGAGAGAGAGCTGAATATTCTTTGTATTATTGTTTTCTTAGTAGAGAAGTTATTATGTTGAGGATATAATAACATTCAACGGTTTAGATTAAGAATGATGTGGAGATTGTTAAACATTAAATGATTTGGATGATTTTGTGGATTACAACTAATAAGGAAAACACAAATTTAAATTAAATAGAATTATCTAATAAAATAAAATTGAAAAAATAATCAAAATTTGAACTGATAAAAAAAGAATGTAAAACCCATAGTGAAGAACACCCAAGAAAGGTAAGGAAACAGATCAATGTTCTCGCACCTCACTACCTGTGATACTCTAATTCGATTGATATGAAATTTTGATGCACACTACAACGAATCAAGTTATCAGTCTCTTGAATTTTCTCAGAACAAAACCCTAAATTCTAAATCTTCAATCTTGACTCCTGGATTTCACCTTTTTATTTTTTTTAATACGATGCAATTGAATGGTTGATGAGTTTGTATCTGCAGAAATCTCAAACATGCTTGACTCGACACGGTTTTCTATGGAGGTGGCAAAGTGATTGAGTTGAGTTTGTAGCTGCAAAAATCTCAAACATGCTTGACTCGACACGCTTTTCTATAGAGGTGGCATTTTCTATGGCAAAGTGATTGAGTTGCTAGCCTGGGATTAGGGTGCTTAACTCCAAACAAATTATTGTCAAAGCAAAACTCTTTCTGCCTGGTATCATGTTCTCTCTCTCTCTCTATAATTAGGGTTCTTTGTTTGAAGGAAAGAAAAGGAAAGAAAGACTTTTCATCAAGAAGTTGTACACCTCTTCAGCAGAGATAGAAATGGAATTTCATGTTTTTTTTTAATTTTTAATTTTTTTTACACTAGATATTTCAAAGTTTGATTATTTCTTTTTCAATTTTATTATTATTTGATAATCTTTTTATTTAAATTAGTGTTTTCCTTATTAGTTATAATCCACATAATCATCCAAGTCATTTAATTTTAAAAGCCTCCAAATCACTCTTAATCAAGACCTTGGATCTTATAAAATCTAAAGGCTATAAATGAATATAAAACTATTTGTCAAAATCTTTGTCTCTTGATCCTATCCCTATATATATATATATATATATATATATATATATATATATATATATATATGTAAAAATATTTGTCAAAATATTTGTCTATTGATCCTTCCCTATATATATATATGCAATCATTAACCACCAAATCTTAACTAACTCTCTAATATTTTGACAAGTGTCACAATCTAAACTTACATATTCCCAAGCTTATAATATCTCTAACACTAAAAAAATCATTTCTTTTCTTTACAACTCAGCAAGGAAACCTGGGCATTTTTCTTATTATTATGAAGAAGACACGATAAGAAGCTGCTATGGTTCTGTTCCTTTCTTTCAAATTCTTCCATTTTCTTTTACCTTTTTTTTTGGAATGAAAGGTACGATATTCATTAAGATGAGAAAAACTGTACAAAGTGAGGATATGATGCATATATGGGCATTAATAAAAACCTTGCCAATGCGTTCAACCCGGTCGAAAGTAAAAAAAGTGTCTCGCACAAACAAACAAAAGTTAATTATCCTCACATACCAAATCAAACAATACATTTAATGTGAAAAATCTTCAAATAGCGCATCCAAAATTAACCCCAGAGGTTCATCAAGCCACACAATCTCCTGAGCACACCCCATTCCAGCATTTGCAAGTCTGTGAGCAACTTGATGTGCCTCCCTTTTGATATGGCATGACTTCGTATTAGAAAAATTTATGATGAAAGATCGAATATCATTAATTATAGGACCTAGACCGGAGAGGTATCTTCTCCTTGGCCATTCATGGCTGCCACGGTGATGATTGAATCTCCTTCATGTAAGACTAAACTAGACTTTTAAAAATTAATTCACAGGCCAAAACACAATGATTAATCAACTAAATCACAACCCTTAAATTATGTATGTAATATAAGTGTAAGAACTGCAGCAATTATACCAACACAAACCTGTAGACATGTTCATGGATGAAGAAGCCATGAAAACCTGCTCAAAACCTTCTCCTATCTGCAAAACTCAATACTCTCCAAATTATAGGTAATTGAACAATAAGAGTGTAATCTTTTTTAGAGCAGGGGCTTGTGGTTTTATACTAGAAGACTTGGATCGCCCTATAACAATCCCACAAGGAATACAAGACTAAATCCTTGTACAAGTCCCACAAGGAATACAAGACTTGTACAAGTATGAGTTTATATTCTCGAGCCAACAATAGAGTTTCAATCCAAACCAAAGTTGAATTAACTCTTATAAACATATTAAGACTTCTTTATACCAATATGAAATAACAACGATTACTACTAAACTTTGAGAATCACACTCATACTCTAACACTTCAAAGATACAACTATTTACCTAAGTAATTTTGAAAAAATTTGGAGGCCAATTTATTGCCGGATTCATTGATCTCGATTTCTTTAGGCTTCCCTTCGTTTCTTCACTAGATAGTTATGCTGTCTTGGGTTTCTTAGACAGGTCCCTCTTGGAAGGGAAAAAAAATGCAAAAGAGTTTATGGGGAAGAACCAACATGTAAAAAGATGCAACAACGTAACTTTATTCTATTTAAATAAAATTAAAAATACAAAAGTACATGTAAAAGATTTTCTCGGTATAAAAGATGCAACAACGTAACTTTATTCTATTTGTGATTTTCAAATTTAACGTAATTTTATACTTCTTTAATCTGTTTTCTTTGGTTGTATAATTGAAAACACTATTAACGTACAAAATTATCAAATAAGTACAAAATATAATAGTTTTCATGTGGCACTTTGAAGAGAGATTTTGTGCGCGTAATAAAAATTGTTCTCATAATTTACAAAGATAATGAGTCTTATGTGTACTTTACACAAAATATTTCGATATTAATAGAAGACTTCCTGTGATAAAAAAGAAAGAAAAAAAAAAAAGACTTCTAGCATTCCATGAAGCACGTGCATAGAGGCTAGTTAATAATAAATAGGCAGAAGAACTTTGAAGTTGCCATGTAAAACCATGACGCTGAACGTTCAGAGGCATTATCGTTCACAGATACAGGTGAAGAGGAAGGCGTGGAGCAAGAAAGGCCTTAAGTGGATCCGCTTTCGTTAGGGCAAGACCCACCCTTTCACGCATATCCACCGGCCCATCACCGACTCTGCTCATATCAAACCCCTGAAGCAAACGAGCCAGAAGCAACTGAACCACATGCAACCCTAGTGTCGCACCAGGGCAGGACCTTCTGCCCGAGCTAAACGGAATGTACTCAAAACCCTTGAAATAGTCCACGTCAGCATGGTCGGTCATGAACCTCTCAGGTTGAAACTCACAAGGGTTGGCCCACACGCTTGGGTCCCGGTGCAATTTCCATAAGTTGACCACTATACGGGTGCCTTTGGGGACATGATAGCCAGAGAGATGAGAATCCTCCGTGCCCTCGTGGACGGTGATTGGGACAGACGGGTACAAGCGTAGGGTTTCTTTGACAATGGCTTGGAGGTATTTGAGGTTCGGAAGGTCGGATTCTTGAACCCATCTGTCACTTCCTACGTTGATGTCCAATTCTTGTTGGGCAGATTTTAGGGCACTTGGGTTGTTGAGGAGTAAGGAAAGTGCCCATGTTAGTGCAACAGAAGTGCTTTGTGTGCCACCTATGATGAGAATCTGCCAATTAAGACACAATATTTAGAATTAAATGAGCTAATTAACAATTATTAGAAGATCTCCAGCCCAGCTGTTTTTTTTTTACATCGTGAACTGTTTTCTTTTTTGTTAACCAACTTGAACTGTTTGACATAAATAATAAGCATTTTTCTAGTTCCAACCGGGGAGAATTTTTTTCATTGTGTGGTGAACAAGGTTTGGTATATTATGTGTCATAATACACAGTGTTGAAATTTATTTTTTTTGAGTATCAAAAAATTTCGTGCACGGGTCGTGTTCTCGACATACAGAAAATCCTCTCACAACTGGGAGGCCAATCCAAGCTGCGTTGGCATTGCCCAATTTGCTGCCAAAATTCACATTCTCTTATTGAGGTCATTTTCTTTTTCAATGATGCTATTCTTACTATCTATTTGTACCATAATTTCAAGGTGGTGCTATCCACACACCGATTTTTACCTCTCACACACTCTTTTCAATTTCCGGACGTCGGATCAAATAAAATGAAGAAGATCAATAGACAAAAATTAACAAGAGCGTGAAAGGTAAAGATGAGTGTGGATAGCACTACAGTAATTTTATACCACCTTAGGTGGCAGCTGAGATGGACAATCACATCATTAAATAATTTGAATTTTTTTATTTATCTAAAAGAATTTAGAAAACCAAAAAGAACAAAATAAATTAGAAAGTCCTAAAACCTAGGTTTCACATTTTCTTTCTGTTGCTCTCCTCCCTCCTCATACTCCTATAGGCAAGTCTCCCCACAACCATGGTGAAGATCTATAAGTTTTTTCTTCTACACTTTGGCTAAAAATTGAATAACATAGTGTTTGAAAAATTCTTCGGAAAGTCAACGAAAAAAAATAATGATAGATATGATTTCATAATGAAAGAAAGAATTCAATGGTAAACAATGGGAAAATTAATTTGTCCTAAAAAAAAAACAATGGGAAAATTAATGATTGAAAGGGTTGTGGATAGTGGGTGGTGGCGGTGGAAGGAGGAGGAGGAAACCCTGAGATTGGGTTTCAGGTTTGCTAGATTTTATTTTTCTTTTTGGTTTTTTAAATTCTTTTTACTTGAATAAAAAGTTCAAATTATTTTAAATAATGTGGCTATCTACTTCAGTTGTCATCAAGGTGGGATAAAATTTTCATTATACCCGAAATACACCACATTCTCACTATATAACTGGAGATTAGTTTTAATTTTTAGGTTGTTAATTTTTTACCACAAGTATCTCATCACTTGTATTGTGATACGTAGTATACGATCTTATGTTCTGGGCATACTGAAAAATCTCTTCTTGAGTGATATAAAATTATGATAAAAATAGATAATAAGAATATCATTACCTTTTATTTATTTTTTATTATTTATGGGCCCACTTGCAATTGAGATATTTCACATGCTGCCTTTAAAAGTAATAAATAATATTTTACATTTGGAGTAGGAGATTTACAAAAATGTCAAATTAAAATGTTTGTTTGGTTATTTATAAAATTAAGTGGGTTAGAATTTAATAATAAAATAATTAATAAATGAAGAAAAATACAAAAATATGTGGGATTAACATTAAAATAAAAAAAATCCGCGTTGCCTTCAAATTTGGCAACAAAGTAAAGAATGTCATTCTATATGAGATTTTGGCATCTCCTTTGGGACCAAAAAATCTTATTTTTCTTATAAAAAACAGTTCATGTAAGATTTTTAACATATCAATTGAAGATGCTCTAAGTCAAATGATCATTTATAACGGCACGTGCGGCAAAAATTTAAAATTGGTCTATTGAGTTTTAACGGCAGGCTGGCAATTCGCCACGAAAACGGTTAGCGAAAATACCCAAATAATCTAAGCAGTGTGACTTTAATGGTTAATTAACAATTTAATATCTCAAGTAATAGAAAATATTTAAATAGTTAGGTCCTTTTTGAAAGTAACCTCCAATCTCAAGGGAGTGTGTTATAATTAATTGTAGATTCGATCAAAAATCAACTCGTATTATACATAAAAATTCGATAGCGATCCATCATAGACATATTTATGACCATATCAAGAACTTGCATTGTGTAAGCGGAAATCCGAAATTTTTTAATGTATAGGGTACTTTGAAGCAGGGCGGAGCCACTTGTCATTAGGGTGGTCATTTGACCCTTGTGACATTTTAATGATTTTCATTAAAATACTATTATTATTATAATTTATTAATAATCTGTTATATTCTTATATATTGATCCTCTCGTGACCACTAAACAATTTAACCCCTTATTTGTTAGTTGACCAAAGAGTCCCAATATGGTAGAGTTTATCTGTTACCTTTTTATCTTCTTTTATTATTTACTACATTTATATGCTCATACAGATAAAGCGTATCATTCCTAATATTTAGAAAATTAAGGAATTACACAAACTGAAAAGGTAATCAATCAATTAGCATTAAACTTCAAACTTTTCCTCCATCAACAAGAAACTTTTAAACTTCTCCTAGTCAGAGAATGAGCCATCTCCAACTCCAAGACAACAAGCCTTCACCAGTTCATCTTTGGAAATTTTTTTAACCAACAAATCAATTAGGTAATTCTTAACTCCTAGTTTACAATTTTTTTTTTGTGATTTTTTTTGTTTATATATCGAGAAAGATTTCTTCGATAATATTGACAATGATGTGATTATGAGAAGATTTCAGACTATGAAAATTCGTTTAGGACAATTGTAATTTTAGTAGAATATTTATGAGTTTTTCTTATTATCTTTTACTCTTATATAGTTATTTAAAGTTGACCCTCCTTCAAATTTTTTCCTGCTACGCCACGGCTTTGAAGCATGCTAGAAAATTACGTGAAATAGTTGTGTACGTGTAACTCTAGGTAGGTGTTCTTAAACATGTCTCAAGTCTATATAATACCGCGTAGTGTCCTTATATATATGTAATATAAATTCCAAATTTAGAGTTAACTTACAAGTGATGTTGCTTTGATAACATTATCACAGCTATGCCCAGAAATGACAGCCTCCTCTCCAAAGTTGGATATCATCGCATCTATCAAGTCACTTTCGACCCAGCTGCTAAGCACAGAGTCAAGCTCCTTAAATGTGCGTTTCATGAAACTCACAGGCCCAAACAAGCTGTCCAGCCATTCAAAATATGGCATAGCATCCGACCAAACAAAATTGCCAAGGAGATGCATAGCCTCCTGCATAGCCTTTTCGAAACGCCAAGCCTCACTGCCTTTCTCGTTGTATTCGCCATCTGAAAATCTCTTCCCGGCAATCAGCCTCACGCTAATGTTAAACGTCAAGTGCTCTACTAACTCGCTCAAATGCACCACTACAGTAGGTGAAGTGGGGGGCGATGTGGTGAGCCCTGACGACCCTACCACATCGAACAATTTTTTTATGAAAGAGTCGACTTCTTCGGCTCGCACGTGACTATGCATTTCAACCTTTTGGGCTGAGAGATACTCCTGAGTAGCCAACTTCCGGATGTCGCGCCAGTAGGGTCCGTACGGGGCTAGGGCAAAAATAGCGTTGTTGTAACCCAAGTGTTTGCCGGCTGCTGTACTCGGTCGTGTGGAGAAAGCAATATCGTTTTTTGTGAAGCGTTCTTTTACTTGTTCCCAAGCGCTAAGCACCACCATTACTTGGCGCGGACCAAGCTTAAGTGAGTAGATCGGACCGAATTTATCGGCCATGGCGCCAAGAATTAGGGCAACTGGATCTTTGCCATGTAGGAGATGAAGGTGACCTATGAAAGGCCATGCTCCTGGAGGTTGAGGGACTTTGGTCAACGATCTGGTCTCTGTCTTTGTGTTGTTGATGATATTCTTCTTCTTGTTTTGCTTAGTGTATGCTGCGATTATTCTCAATGCACAACAGAGAACCAGAAGCAAAGCTAATATGGTGTTAATAATTTTGTGGAATGGAGAAATGAAATCATCCATGGTTGGAGATATATGAAATGTGCGTAGGATGATCACATCATAGATTTCGTATGTATATTTATAGGTTTTAAGGGGCTCCGGGTATGCTATCCTGAAAATGGTGTCTCATTCGTGTCTCCTTCTTTATTTATTTGACATGTGTACTATCACTTAACTCTAAACTAACTCTGTTAACTTTTACTAAACTATAAAATTAAAGGCACCATAGCTGATGAAACCTTTCAGCATCCTAAGAAACCCTTCAGCATCCTCCCCCAATCTATCACCGCAGCCACCAAACCCAACCTCTCCACCATGCACTTCGGCCACGAGATGGATCGATTAGATTAGATATTCTCAATCTATCACCGCAGCCACCAACCCCAACCCTTCAACATCCTCCCCAAATTGATCGATAAGATATTCTCAAATTTCAAATTTCACACACTGTTTGCTGGCTGTGACGAGATGGATCAATCACATATCGACCAATTAGATATCCCAAATTTCAAACTTCGAACTTCTCACATGTTGACGAGAGTACGAGAATTTGAAAAGAGAAAAGGGAAAGGAAAGGAAGCTTTGCTGCTGTGAGGAGTAGCATCGGCGGCGATGGGGTGGTGTCATTGGTGTGGTTGCAGTGGTCGGCGACGATAGGTTGTGTGGTTGTAGTGGTCATCGCAATGGGAATATGTAGTTGCAGTGGATAGTTATCGAATGGGTTTTTGTTTTTCTTTAATTTTTAATTTTTCAATTAGTTTATAAAAAATTAAAAGTGTTAACATTGGTGTTAAATTAATAGACAAATGTCAAAAAATTAAGAACGAGACACAAATGAGACATCACGGGACAACAGATCCCTGTGTTAACTACATTGGAGAAGAAGCAAAGATGAACAATTGTAAAGCCAAGAAATGAAGTTTTACAGAGAAGAGAAAAGCAAGAGAGAGAAATGAAATCTTTTGTATTGATGATTCTGAATGATTACAATTGCATAGCTAAGACTGTTATATATACTCTATCAAGACTTAGCAGCTACGCTACTAATCTAACTATATAACCGACTTCTAACAAATCAGTCTAACAACCATGTTGACATGGCACTTCATTCAACATCCCCCCTCAATCTAAGCTGGGATTTCCAAGCTTTAGATTGTAACAATGCTTGAGAAATGCAGAACAATGAAATCCTTCTTGTCCATGTACTCCTAACCCTGCTCCCATCATCAATTAATCCTCTATTCTTGGTGTTTAAAGGTGTCTTCATGCATCTGCATTATCAATTAATCCTCTGCTCCCATCATCAATTAATTCTCCATGGCTGCAAGCATTGAAAAATTACTCAATAGCAGTGCAATTTCATACTCATCAATCAACTTCCCAAAGAGTTTCAGCCCCTCAAACTTATTTCTACACCGTTGTAGCTACTGTTTTCTTTGCAATAAGGTTTCCAATATTTCACAGTCAATAAGCTTTACAACCACAGAAATCAAGAAACACATCCCTCTTCGGTAATCGGCCTTCAATGAAGAAAGGGAACAAGAACTGCACTCTAGCAATCGGCCTTAATGGAGTTGCACACACTAACAACAAACAAAATATTTCAAGAACGTTGCTCCGGCTATCGGCCTTTAAGGAGTAACACACAATATCTGAACAAGAACTTTTCACTCCGACTATCGGCCTTATAGAGGAAACAATTTGCATTCAACACACTCTTGGCAATCGGCCTTCAAGTGCACAAATCAAACAACAAAAATGGAATGGCTATCGGCCTTTGTATTCCTTCAACAAACTCTTAGAAAATGGCTATCGGCCTTAACAGAGAAACTGACATATATGAAAACCCCACGGAGAAATAAATTTTCACTGTAACATTTAAGCAAACAAATGGAGTGCAGAGCCAAGAACAAAACCTGAAACTTGAGTTTTTTTATCGGAAAACCCTATCGAAGAAAACTCAGCAAATCACCAATGAGCAGATACAAGCACAACGAAAAAACAAGCCTCGAAGATCGAAACCGTTTTCTGGGTGGCAATTTCTACTTCCCGAGAATATGGACCCCTTCAAGAAACAGAGCCGACTGGAACACGCTGGTGGCACCAAGGATCTTCTAAAGAACGCTCCATAAATTGATGACCAGAAGCAATATAAGGCTATAAGTGCACCAATGCAGTGACAGATTGCAGCAGCATGAGAACCCAGAGACGATCTTCTTGATATTGGACTGCATGTCGCGGATGAGCTTGAATTGAACAATGGATTGGAGCAGAGCGTGAGTGATCTCGTTGGAGCAGGACCTTTTCGTCGCATTGCTCATCTGCTGGAGAGTGGAAGCACCTAAGAACTTGACGGAAATTTCAAGAAAATTTGAAGAGAAAACCTAATGAATTAAAAACGATGAAAATGACGAAATCTAATGAAAAACAGAACCACCAGAATCTATGGCGTAAGCCTGGTGGCTCTGATACCATGTTAACTACATTGGAGAAGAAGCAAAGATGAACAATTGTAAAGCCAAGAAATGAAGTTTTACAGAGAAGAGAAAAGCAAGAGAGAGAAATGAAATCTTTTGTATTGATGATTTTGAATGATTACAATTGCATAGCTAAGACTGTTATATATACTCTATCAAGACTTAGTAGCTACGCTATTAATCTAACTATATAACTGACTTCTAACAAATCAGTCTAACAACCATGTTGACATGGCACTTCATTCAATACCCTGGCCGTTTTAAGGTGGCTTTATTTGAAAGGAAAACTAATGAAAAGAACTTGAAAACTTTAACTTTTAACGATAAGGACAAAATAAAGGGTAAAGTGAATAGTACCAGTTTGACTTTTTAGTGTTAAAATATGGTTTTTCGTTAAAGTGAATAGTATCGCGGGTTTTTCGTTAAAACTTCCTTTTTTGAATCCATGTTAATTTCGGGGTAATGCTAGAGAGATTAACTTTATAGACAAAATCTGCAAACTAGATGATGTGTCACCAATAAAAATGAGCACATTCATCAACGTTTAACTAATAACTCAATTATCAACTTTTATATCATTTAGTTTACAAAATTTTATCTACAAATTTGATCTTCCTAGCATTACCATAATTTTAAACTTTACAAACCAATATTTTGATTATTTCAATCGGATTCACTTGCCGGTGGCTTAGTCATTGTTTATCTTAAGTGCTCTTTGTGAAAGGATAATATTTGAGTGCTCACATTTTGATTTGTCCAATGATATTATAACACATATTTTATATACTCACTTTCTGTTTTGGCCTAATAAAAAAATGCAATGTGTTTCTTATTTTTTAAAGCCCAAGAAAAATTAATAACATGCCCATTATTTTTCAAAACAATAGAACATGTATTAAAGTATCATTGGACAAAATCAAAGGGTGAGTACTTACTAGTGAATACCCAAGTATTATTCTTTTTATATGGTGCTTTATGGCAACAATCTAGAGCAATCATGTCTATACACTCTGGTGAAGGTTCGATTCCCACCAATTTTTCTTTCCTCTAACAACCAACTATGTAACTTATTAACGTTATCGCTCTACTAAAAAATGATTAAGTAATTTTTCATTTTTCAGGAAAGAGAGATAAAAAGAGAAAACAAGGGGCCAATGAGGATACAGAAGAGTGGAGGATGAATGGTGGAAGAAATGTATAAAAAAATGTAACAAGAATGTACACAAAATGAAAACTAAAAACTGATAATTAAAAGCTATATTTTAAGTTAGATTCACTTTCTAGTTATTGTTTTCTTCTTTATTTCTTCCCTGCTGCTTCTCTTTTTTCCTCCTCATATACTTGCTTGTTACTCCATGACTCAAGTTGCCCACTTTCGTCAACTCCGATACTAACATCGTTAACTTTGCTTATGTAGCAGAGTTAATTTTGCATATCTATTCATTCAAAATGGTATAAATGATCATGTGTGCTTATGTGAAGTAAAAATGGAATTTGCAATTTTCCCCAATTCCCAAATATGGTAGTTTCTTCCCCCCATTATTGCTGTTCACATCGGCGACAATAACTTTTTATTTTATTTTATTTTATTTTATTTTTAACAAATGCTAAAGAGACTTTCTTAAAAGTGAAACTCTTCGTCGAATATTTGCCATCTCATATTTTTTGCATAAATCTTAACACGAAAATAGATATTAAACTGTAAGATGACAGAAAACAGCACTTTAAAAGAGTCTCTTTAACATTTTTTTTTTTATTTTTTCAGTTACAAGGGCAATAATTTCTTGATCATGAAGTTGTTGCCGCCACATTATGAAGTGGGGTATATACTGTCCATGGATGCAAATTTAGGTGGAGGGAGATTGTCTGCCCTCGTATTTGAATGCCCTTCCTATTCCCTTTTATTTATGCGGTCACGGTTAAGTCACGTCAACATTTTATATTCTTATTACTTTTTGTCTTATTATCTCTATAAAAATCAATATAAAATATTGACGTAACTTAATCGTGACCACACAAAATAAGTGATAATGGAAAAGACACCCAAACAGAAGGGCATACAATCTACCTTCAATTTAGGTATCAATAACATCATTCAACTGCAATTTTGCATCTCCCTCAGTTTTGCATCTCCCTCCATTAATAGGATGCAATAAATTATGTACAAACGTCAACATTTTATATTCTTATTACTTTTTATCTTATTATCTCTATAAAAAATAATATAAAATATTGACGTGACTTAATCGTGACCACACAAAATAAGAGAAAATAAAAAAGATATCCAAACAGAAGGGCAGACAATCTGACATAAGGGCAGACAATCTGCCTTCAATTTAGGTATCAATAACATCATTCAACTGCAATTTTGCATCTCCCTCAGTTTTGCATCCGTTTTGCATCTCCCTCCATTAATAGGATGCAATAAATTCTGTACGAGGGTGGACCAACTTTAGTACTTACCAACGGAAAAGGATCTTTGCCAGATTTTTTTCATGGGGATCTTAGAGATTTTGTAATCGTGATCGTTCATCGTATATCGTGCGATCAGTTTTCGTATATATTATTTATATTTAATTTTATATTTTAAATTTTAAAATAATTTCTGACTGCACAATGTACGATGAACGATCATGATCACAAGATCCTCAAGAAAGAATCCGGCGAGGATTGTTTTCCCTTGCCAACAAAAGCTAATACGGTGTCAATCATTTGGTGGATTGGAGAATTATGTGTAGGATATTATCATATAGTTGATTTTGCATGTGCATGTATAGGAATTAGGGGTGCCTTCCCTTGGGAGTGGTCCAAGACTCCAAGTTAGGTTTAATCTCCCTATGTAATTAATGTTATGGGACTCATACTATACATTTTCTAATGTAATTAGAAATATGGAATATTTTCCTTCATGAAATATTTTAAAAATATCATATGAATTTATATGCCATTATCAATTTATCATATGAACTAACATTTTAAACGATTTATCTTATCAACTTTTCGAAATCATTAATTTGTTATTTCATCCTAACAATGTTAAGTTTTCTAGCCAAAATACTTGCACATAACTTGTGTTTAGAGTTATTTTTGACATTTGACCTTATTTTCATTTCATTTCATTGTTTGCTATGAACAATAACTTAGTAAAAACAACGTATTGCCATTGTTTTAGATGACAATTATACTTCAAGAACATGTTTGTTTTCACTATCTCTGATGTGAATTCGTGTTTAATTTATTATCCATATATATAGGTGATTAATTAAATAGTGTGATAACCTTATTCGTTTTCGTTACACAAGTCCATAAAAATATCTCTAAAAGAAGAAAACACGAGAAAGTTATGTATTATTTAAAGGGAACTTTAACGAAAAGATCCTGGTACTGTTCACTTTAACGAAAAACCACATTTTTACACTAAAAAGTCAATCCTGATACTATTAACTTTACCTTTTATTTTGTCCTTATAATTAAAACTCAAAGTTTTCAAGCCATTTTAATTAGTTTTCCTTTATTTAAATGGACTGTACTATGGCCACAACTGTCTAAACTCATTTCTCTGCATTATTGACTTAAGACATGAACCAGACTGAGAGAGACAGTTGTGACAACTGCGTCCATTGATATTTTTAGGCATCCCTTATAATCTGAGGATAGTGCTAGGCAGAATAATTTTTATTTATCAAATTTGCAAATCATATGATATGTCATCAATGGAAAATGTGGAACTTTCATGAAAATGGCTTGGGCTAAGCAGTGGCGGATGCATTGAGGGGTAGGGGGTCAGCTGACCCTTGAACTTCGGTGAATGTCCATGGATGCCTTGGGTGCTGCCCTTTTGAAGATTAGAGTTGGCTTCATACATGCCCTCCAACTGTTTGATAAAATGTCTGAAAGAAGAGTGAAATGGTAATCTTAGTGAATAACAAAGTATCATCATTCTTGGACAAACATATTAATAGGATGCAATGATATCAAACATTGTTAGTGTGTTCAAGATAAGTGCGTTTCTTTGTTAAGCATTCATATGGGAGTAGCCTGAAACATGTTAGTTACCCTCGCAAATGAGGCATTAACCGGTGTCCAGTATGCATTTCCAAATGACTTCAGGCCTACCAAGACTCAATGAAATGGCAATATGCATGCTATTTCTGGTAAAAAAAATTTGCGATGTGCGCGCTATTCTTACTTACCCCCTTAATATTATTTTCTAGATCCACCAATAGGGCTAAGTTTATTTTAACAAAAAATCATGCTATAACTTTATTTAATGAAAAAGAATTAAATTTTAATAAAAATGACAAAAAAAGACTTAAAATTTAATGAAAATGAGACAATTAAAAAATAGTGCCTAGTTTCATAAATCATGCTATAACTTTATTTAATGAAAAAGAATTATCGTTTCTGTTGGAGCAGAAAATTTCGGATACTCCAATTCTCCACCAACAAGTAATCTTGAACACGTTGAGAAGTCTTGGACACTATCTTCATTTGTCAACAATGAAAGCGGGGGGACCTGCAAGAAAATACTCCGACGCTCAAGTCAGTCGTTGTTCAAAATAATTGCAAGACATTGTAAAGCTATCTAATACTTCCCTTTCCTCTTCCCATGCTGATGGGATTATTGGCCTTTTATAGGCATTCAAGTCTTGGGCTCCAAGTCCCACTTTCCTTCTATTTCTCCATGTTCCACATTCCACATTCCATGAAGTAGCTGATTGTGCTCCTTTATTTTAGCCTCACTCCTCATGTTTAGCATGCTAGTGGCTTGTTTAGTGGATGAGTAATTTTTGGCTCCCACAGTTTCATAAAAATGACAAAAAAAAAAAACTTAAAATTTAATGAAAATGAGACAATTAAAAAATAGTGCCTAGTTTCATAAATCATGCTATTCTTACTTACCCCTTTACTATTATTTCCTAGATTCGCCAGTACTATACTATTTATTGGTCCAATTTCATAAATAATGCCTAGTTTTTTGTCCACTTTCATAAATAGTGTCTAGTTATTGGTCATGTTTAATAAATAGTGCCTAGTTATTGGGTCCAGTTTCATAAATAATGTCTCTTTTTTTGTCCGGTTTCATAAATAATGTCTAGTTATTGGCCCACTTTCATAAAGTCTAGTTTTT